TGGCATTATGGGAGTTTCTACTTGCTGAGAGTCATGTCTTCTGACTTTTGATCAAAATCGGACTGCGCTGATCACATCCCGGGAAAACCTGACATTGTTTGAGGCAGATTCAGTTGATTTTACTAAACCATGACGAGTATTGCATTCATCACCTTGAGCCAGAGAAAAAGAGACAATCCATGCAATAGAAACAACGCCTTACCTGCATCAAAGGCAATGGTCGTGTCATCTCCAGGGAAGGTGATGGTTTCAGTTTTATGGGATGCAAAAGGCATTGTGTTTATTAAATATCTTCAAAAGAGCCACGCCATCAAAGAAGTGTACAATACCAACTGGCTGAAGGGACATAGAAAAGGCTATCAAGATCAAACTCTGAGGAAAACTGATCGGTGGGTGCCGGCTGATCACATCACGGGAAAATCTGACATTGTTTGGGCAGATCCAGCTGATTTCCTAATAAGTGTCGGGTTCATCTCTTTGTGTCAGAGACAAAGAGACAATCCATGTAGTGGAAACACCCTCTTTACCTGCTCCAAAGAAAGCCAAGGTCGTTTTATATGCAGGGAAGGGGATGCAAAAGGCATTGTGTTTTTTGAATATCTTCAAAACGGTCATGACTTCAAAGAAATGTACTATACCAACTTGTCGAGGATGATACGAAAGGTTATCAAGACCAAACTATGAAAAAAAGTGACGAACGGGGTCTTGTTTCATCAGAACGATACTCCTGCGCAGAAGTCTTTCGTTTCAATAAGTACTCTGCGTGGCTATGTCTTTGAACTGTTTGATAACCCTTTCTGTTCTCCTGGTTTGGCCCTATCTGACTATCATCTGTTCCCCAACATGAAAAACCACTTGGCTGGGACGATGACTTCATAAATATTGTTGATAACATTTTTGCACAACAGGATGAAAAATTCTTCATCAATTGGATCAAAGGAAAAAGTGTGTGAACCGCAAGGACAGAGACATATTGAAAAATGATCCTCAATTACATTCCATGAGAATATTTTGAAGTTTTCAGCTGACCCACGTATAGTAATTATATATGAGAATACAATTAAAAGATTTATTCTAAAATCGAATATTATATTCCAAACAAATTAATACATTCATAGTCCTTTCGGTCAATGACTGACGTGTGTGACTGTGGTTTTGATCTGGTTGATCACCCTCCCTATTCTCCTGATTTGAATATCATCTGTCCGCCAAGATGAAAAAAAGACTTGGCTGGTCGCCAGTATCGTAGTGGTGATGACGTCATATCTGCTGTTGATGACTTCTTTTAACCAACTTTGAACACTCAGATGTCAATTTACCTTGAATTAAATAAAGCAGATGAAATTAATGCATACAAGACTTCACAGCTTCAGCATTGCGCCTTCATAGTCACGTCACCCTATGAACTTTCCAGCCCCCGCCCGTGTACACACACACACACACACACACACACACACACACACATATATATATATATATATATATATATATATATATATATATATATATTATATATATATAGTTAAATTCCCAGATGAATTCATTGGACAATACAGACTGGTATAAAATGACAATTGGAAAAAAATCGGGTTTCATTTTTGCCTTGAAAAAAGTCGGAATATTTCTTTTTTTCAAATTGTCATTTCATATATACATATATATATATATATATATATATATATATATATATATATATATATATATATAAAAACAAATGTTTAGAGGTACAAAATTTATATACAGTTTTAAAAACTAAGAATTTATTGATCTTAATTTTATTAGTCTCTAAGGCCCTTACAACCAACATCTCATTGGATCATTAATCAACGAAAAGAACAGTAACGAAAATAAAGAGCAAAAAAAGTGGGGAAACACACTAAAATAACAAACAAGTGAATATACTTGTAACGAGGGGAGGGGAAACAATCGTGTAAATAAATTAGCGAGAGACAGTTAAAATAAAATATCCCCCAACAGATTAAGAGACTTTACAAATTCTTTCTGCCGGCAGAGAGAAGGTTTCCATAATCCTATACAGACTGATTCCAAAATCTTCAAATGATTGTTGGAACCAGCCGTATGAATGATTTTAAACCACTTACCGTATTGAGCACTCTACGTTTTAGTCTTTTTACTCGTTTTGGGATTTTTTTCTTTGGACTTGGTAGCTTAAGCACTTGACGATTGGTTTCGTCTTGTTTTAATGTTCTTGGTTCTTTCTTTTTTTAATTCCAGTTTTTTTTTCCTCAGGTACCTATTTGTTCTACTACAAGTTAAGCTATCGAGGTTTTTTCAAACGAGTACTACCATATATATATATATATATATATATATATATATATATATATATATATATACACACACACACACACACACACACATATATATATATATATATATATATATATATATATATATATATATATATATATATATATAATCTACTTAGTGTGTTGACCAAACTTCACATTTTTTTTTTCTTGTTTTACTCGATTGTTTTATTTTCTATGGACTATAAATTACGACGCTAGGCGATTTTTGGGGCCCTAGTAATTTTTTTTTTGCCAAATTTTTCACAGATCCCAATTTTTTAACATTTTTTTATTTGTAAATTGTAATACACATATATATATATATATATATATATATATATATATATATATATGTGTGTGTGTGTGTGTGTGTGTGTGTGTGTGTGTGTGTATGAATTGTTTATTTGATGGTAGAAATTCCTTTTACCTTGATAAGAAACTGAAACCGGGGCAACAAATCGCGAAGCTAAATCTCAATTTCTTCTCATGTTAGAATAATAATAATAATAATAATAATAATAATAATAATTTCAAATGGGTGCAGAAATTCAAGTAAAGCAAAATTAACCGTCTGAACCTGCAAAATACTTTTTAAAAAAAGAAAGCAAAAAGCGAATTCAACCGACCAGACACAGAAACGATGACAAGATAAACCATTTCACGTTCAATACTCTGCCCGTACCAAACAAGCTGATGTATACAAAACCCGTACCCATCAGTGGCTACGTTGTACAAGTTTAAAATCTGAAACTGAATATTTTATCCTTGTTGCACAGAACCAATGCTTGTTAAGTAGAAATTATCAAGCACACATACTAAATTATTGTGTTAGCCCAAAATGCAGATTATGTGATAAATATCCAGAAGAAATTGAACAATTCGTGTCAGGTTGCACGGTATTGGCACCCACTGAATATAAAACCCGTCATGACAGAGTGGGCCAATATCTGCACTGGAAAATCAGAGACTTCTTCGGGGTAGGAAAATGAATGAAATTCATATGAACACCACCCAGACCCGGTTACGGAGATAGGACCTGTAACAATTTTATGAGACCACACAATACACGCAGAAACAACAATCAAAGCTAACAGCCCAGACATTGCTATTAGAGACAGCAAACAAAAAAAAGTGCCTTCTTATTGATATGGCAGTCCCTGCAGACTACAATGTATCTTTGAGGATCTTCAAAAAGCTATCAAAAACAAGGACCTTGAAATCAGAATCTCAAAAATGTGGCACATGGGAACATCAACTGTTGTAGTTAGAGCCGTCAGAGTGGTTGGAAAAGATTTCAGTAGACTCGTTGAATTGATTCCTGGAAGCCCATTCCTTAAAGAAATACAAAAGATTGTTCTCACGAGTACAGCCCACACCTTACGAAGGGCTTTATCTATGTAAAATATGTGTGTTGTTCTTTTTTTTTTTTAATTGGTCAGTAGAAAATGTCATGATGCCATTTCTGAAACTTAGGGCTATGGACGGAAAAGAAATGTGAAAGAAAATAAAAGAATATAATAATAATAATAATAATAATAATAATAATAATAATAATAAAGTATATTAAAACTAAGGAAAACTGCAGATTTAGACCTTGATATCAACAAGATTAAGAAACTAGATCAAGATGGCGCATCATGACCAATCAGCATCAAAAGCGGGATCTTCCAAGGAGATTCATTGTCACCACTACTCTTCTGTTTTGCATTAGCGCCACTCAGATGCCTACTGAACAACAGTAGCTATGGATACAAGTGACAGAATGGCAAAGTGAATCACCTATTCTATATTGATGATCACAAAATGTTTGCCAAAGATGACAACCAACAGAAAACTTACCATTGTCAAAACCTTCAGCAAAGACATTTGGACAGAGTTCGGAATCGACATATATGCCAAAGCCACCCTCAAAGGCGTTAAAATAACGAAAACTACAGATTTAAATTGAAATTAATGAAGGAGACAGAATACAACATTCAAGCGGACTTAAGGGAGCCAATAAAATGAAGTCTATCAACACCTTAGCTATATCCGTAGTAACATACAGATTCAACATTATTAAATAGAAGTTATATGATATTAAAAGATTGTATATTCATAGGACAGATTGAAGGCAAGAGGAAAACAACGTACAGTGTAACCCGGATATAAGAGAGTTGGCGGGACCAGAGAAGTCTCTTATATCCGGGTTTTTCTTATATCCGGTTTTCTCTTATATCCGGTTAATAAGAAAGATTACTTTAATGAATTAAGCGTGTAATTTGGGAGTTGTTTTACTTGTCCTTCCTTTTCCATTTCCACAGAGTGGCTCCGTGGTGGCTTTGGGTACCAACAGTCCACTTCAGTCGAGATGCTAGTAACATTTCATTGTCAGAGAGCAGACCTTGAGATTTCTCCCGCCAAGATGAACCATTGTATGCTCAATGAGGCTCCTTATATGCTCTTTATCTAGATGAGTTACCGCTTGGCATTACCAAGTGCTGTAAGCTTCAATATGCGGTTGGAGCAATGGGTAATGGCTCGGAATTATAAATCAGGGAGCCGAGGTCTCATACGATCAGCGAAGTTAAGCAACGTTGTGTCTGATCACTACGGGATGGCTGACCTTTTAGAAATAACAGGTTCTCTAAGCTTGGATGTGCGGATGGTGTAATGGATAATGGTTCGGAATTATTAATCAAGGAGCCGAGTTCCCGAACGGTCACCGAAGTTAAGCAACGTCGAGCTTGGTCAGTACCTAGATGGGTGACCACTTGGGAATACTAAGTGCTGTAAGCTTGGATGGGCGGTTGGTGTAATGGATAAGGGCTCGGAATTATAAATCAGGGAGCCGAGTTCTCATACGATCAGCGAAGTTAAGCAACGTTGTGTCTGATCACTACGGGATGGATGACCTTTTAGAAATACCAGGTGCTGTAAAAATTGGATGTGCGGATGGTGTAATGCATAATGGTGAATGAATTATTAATCAAGAGCCGAGTTCCCGAACGATCGCCGAAGTTAAGCAACGTCGAGCTTGGTGAGTAGCTAGATGGGTGACCGCTTTGGAATACCAGGTGCTGTAAGCTTGAGTGTGAGTGTGGTGTAATGGATAATGGCTCGGAATTATTAATCGGGGAGCCGAGTTCCCGAACGATCACCGAACTTAAGCAACGTCGATCCTGGCCAGTACCTAGATGGGTGATCACTTGGGAATACCAGGTGCTGTAAGCTTGGATGTGTGGGCGGTGTTATGGATAATGGCTCGGAATTATTAATCGAGGTCCTATAGGAGAATTGTTATTCAATTGATAGCACTTTTCTTAGTATATGGGATGTTCCTAGTAGGATGATCTTCTGGGCAACCTGTATGCTGATGTTACCTGGGGCACTGTTAGTAAAATTGTTCATTCCTCTTCTCTTGAAGCCCAGTGCTCCGATTACTATTGGTACAATCTCAGTCTTCATTCCCCATATCTTGTTAATCTCGACCTCCAGGAACATACATTTGGACAATTTCTCGATAATTTTCATAGAGGTGTTTCTCACAGATGGTACTGCTATGACAATAAGCATAGACTTCCTGAATTCCTTGTCTTTTATGATAATATCAGGTCTGTTGGCTTTTATTTCCCTCTCAGTTTGAATTGGCATGTCCCATAGAATAGTTACATCGTTATTTTGAGTAAATGTGTCTGGTTGGTGCTCATACCATCTGTTATAGTGGAACACACCTATTCTATAGTTAATAGACTCTCCCACCTATAATAAGTAGGAGTAGTAAGAGTAGCGAGTTGCTCAGGGGGTCAGTCAGTCAGTCGATGCCGTACGACCGTTAGTCGAATACTAAAGTATCAGCGACCACAACTAGATTACTCTGCGTCATTAACTATTATATCAAGTTCCTAACGTTTTGTACGTCGAACCTATTTTAGGACCGACTTAGTATAAATACAAGCCTCCACTGTGAAAACACTCCACAATATCATCTCTGAGTGGTTTCGATTTTGTGCTTCTTTCTTATCTTCCAGTGCATATATGCTGCTACATTGTTATGTATGTGGGTACTATTATTATTACTATTATTATTGTTTTTATTTCCTTTGATTTCTGGCGTGTACACATTTCTTTCTGGGTCCCGCCCTGAGACCTAAGGTTAGAAATGGCATCAGGACACTTTCCACTGACAAAAACAAAAAAAATTACATAGACAAACACCTTCGTAAAGTGTGGGCTGTACTTATGAGTATAATTTTTTTTGTATTTCTGTGAGGCATGGGCTTCCAGGAATCCCTTCAATTAGTCTACTGCAATCTTTTCCAACCAATCCTAGGGCTCCAACTACAACAGGGATCGTTGATGTTCCCATGTGCCACATTTTCGAGATTTCTATTTCAAGGTCCTTGTATTTTGACAACTTTTTGAATATCTCCAAAGATACATTGCAGTCTGCAGGGACTGCTATATTAATAAGGAAGCACTTTTTTGTTTGTGGTCTTTAATAACAATATCTGGCCGGTTAGCTTTGATTGTTCTGTCAGTGTGTATTGTGTAGTCCCATAGAATTGTAACAGGTCCTATCTCCGTAACCGGGTCTGGGTGGTGTTCATACCAGTTTCTGTCAGTCTATTATTATTATTATTATTGTTTTTATTTCCTTTGATTTCTGACGTGTACACATTTCTTTCCGGGTCCCGCCCAGAGACCTAAGGTTAAAAAAGACATCATGACATTTTTCACTGACAAAAAACAAAAAAGAAAAAAAGACATATTTTACATGGATAAAGCCCTTCGTAAAGTGTGGGCTGTACTTGTGAGAACAATTTTTTTGTATTTCTATGAGGCGTGTAATTCCAGGAATTCCTTCAAGTAGTCTACTGGAATCTTTTCCAGCCAATCCTAGGGCTCCAACAACAACAGGTATTATTATTATTATTATTATTATTATTGATGCTCTAAAAGGAAATATCACAACAGATTACTAAACATGTTTATTGGTACGAGCTGATCAATTATACCTGATTATGACTCACCACACTGGTATTATTAACCTGCTGGAAACTAGACGAAATAGAGACAGCTAACGAGCAATATGGGTAACGGTAAAACACTACTCCTGCTGTTGTGGCAATAAAATAACTCGCTTGTTACTATATCCATTACAATTAATATAATGTTTCTTAGTGCGAAAACTGGCTTAGTCTAATAAAACTTCATAAGTTTCTACTTAGTGTCGCTATTATATTACGTATGTTAGTGTAACCGTGCTGTCAAAATTGATGGCAAGAAGGAATGTATTACAAGTGATATGTAATTTATTGTATAATCCAATTACAATATTCTAATTTAAAATGTTTTTTGTTATCATTAATAATTGAACAGTGTACAACTTATAAACACCTAAGGAAAGATATGCATATTTTATACTTATAAAGGTTATATATTTAAAACCATTTTTTTCATGCAAAAGTTCCCAAAGCACATTTTTTTGTGCAAAGTTTGAAAGGTCTGAGTAATCCTTGAAAATTTTTTTTTTTTTTTTGGTAAGCATTTCACCCTAAGCAAGGCGGGGCACCACTAGCAGGCATGGGGTCACAGAGAGTGTGAGCAAAAAAAAAGAGGTCTGATAGAGGAAAGAATGAAGAGAAGGACGACGAATTAGATCAAGGCATCTGAAGATGTCGATTGACATTGCATTTGAATAATTGGAGATTATAGCTATCAGGGAAGCAAGTAAGAGGAAGGGGGTTAAGATCAGTTACCGTGAATGTATTTAAATAAAAGACAGTGGGAGGCGACCACCCAAAAGAAGTCTTATTTTTTTTTGTGCGTGTAACGGACCCTTTCTTTTTCCCAGATTATGAAATAGCAAATTGAATCTAGGGATTTTTTGTGTAAAGTTTGGAAGATCTGAGTAATCCTTGACAATCCATAGATTCAATTTGCAATTCCAGAGTCTGGGAAAAAGGAGAGGATTTTTACACACAAAAAATAGTAAGAATTGTTTGGGGTGGTATCTTTGTAGTTTGTCAGTGCGGTAGCTTTTGGCATGTCGATGTGAAAGGGGTCTTAGCTTCTGTGCGTCTCATGTCAAAATTTTGCACACTGCCACTGAATTGTTACAGACACAAAAAATTTAAACATATATATATATATAATATTTTTAAAAAAATCCACATTACAACCAAAAAAAAGTGTGTGTGTGTGTGTGTGTGTGTGTGTGTGTGTGTGTGTGTGTGTGTGTGTGTGTGTGTGTGTATAACGATTGCACGGTCGCAATTTCCGACGGATTTCCACCAAAATTTACAAGCACATGCTCCAAGTTAGCGAGAAGGCCAAGACCGACTTTGCATTTCCCAACTCCCATCGATAGTAGAAATAATCGATTTGTCATGCTTCTACGGCAGTTTTCATGTAGTTTGCGGCCATTTTGTACTGGCCAGAGTGAGAGCCTATAGCTGGCTTCCACGAATAGGCAGGAAGATTCTATTGGCCAGCGTGAGAGCCAACAGCTTACTGACACGAATATTAACTAGCATGCTAGCATGCAAAAAATATCGATAGCTGCATTCGTCACAAGTGTGAAAAATTTAAATCTGCATGGCACTTTACTCCAATTGACTCATTCGCTTGCTTAAACTCAACGTTGATTCTGATTCCGCAGAACTGGGTTGGGTGTGAAAAAGTATTTGTTGTTAACATTCTTTTTTCATTCGGTTTTTCCAGTTACGAGTCCTTTTTTAAAGCTGATCGTTTTGTGTTCATTTTGTTTAATTTTTTTCGTAACAGATTTAATGTTTTTTAGAGCTTAGAAAAATTCGCAGTGTGAGATAGGCAAGAAGTAAGGCATGTAGCAACATCAGCACGGCAAAGGGCACTCCTTTAAAGGCAAAGGAAGGGCAAAAATATTTTAAGTCAAGTGATAGCGATTGCTGTATGAGTCGTACAATTTTTGAATTAAGCACGGGCAACGCCGGGCCATGCTGCTAGTATATATATATATATATATATATATATATATGGTGTATTACATATAGAGATTTTAAAGATAATAAAAATTTTTTATATCAGATTTTTTCTGGCTCATTCTCTCTCTCCTCCTCCTATTACATTCTGTTTCTATCATCCTCTCTCTTTGTTGCTTCCTCTTTCTCTTTCTATATTCTTATTTCAATTTTTTATCCTTTCCTCTCTTTCTCTCGCCTCTCTCTCTCTCTCTCTCTCTGACTTATTTTCTCTCTCATTAATTTCTTGTCCTTCTTATTCTCCTTTTCTTTATTTCCCTCCCTCTTTCACTTTCCTTCTTTTTTTTTTTTCCTTACTCCCGTTTTCTCTTTTCCGGTCACACTACTCTTTTCCTCTCACTTTCCTTTTGTCTCTTTCTTCCTTTTTTCTTGTTTACATGATTGAGAAAAGGACAAAAAAAAAGGAGTAGGGTTCAAGAAAACAGAAAAAAAATGGCGATTGACGTTCCATTTAAATTTTTTAAGATTTTAGTTATCAGGGGAGTAATACGTCGGATGGGTGTTCTGCATGTAGGACGTGCGTGAAAAAAGCTCTTAGGGTAGAGTGGTGGTTGCATCTAGCTAGTTCAACAGTAAAATGTTGAGACCTAACTACCAATCGAGCTTAAAATCATGTAATCGGGGCAAAAGGTATAAAAAGCTCTTCAGAGCATTTGCCATGAAAATATTTGTAGAAAAGACAGAGGGAAGCCACGTCGGTGAAAAGTGACTGAAGTCAGTCTAGTTTTGATTTCAAGCTTAACATTTCAAGAATCCGAAGTTTTTTCTTTGCTTCATTTTGTTTTTCATTTAATGTTGAACAAGGTAGCCATATTGTTTAAATTTGATGGGTAATACCCGAGATATTTGTCGTCTGGAAACTCCCTTCTTTGGCCGTAAATGTTCGGCCAATATTAACATTCATTCGACCACAAATTACGTCCTCTTGTATATAGTTAAAAACGTTAAAAGGTAATTGATAAGTTGAGATAAAAATTATCCATTGTTTATTATCTTTAGCTGAACATGTATAAATGACGGCTTGTTACTGTTGTGGTAAACCCTCCTACAGTAGAATGAACTCTTCCTCCTCTCATAAATACTAACTGAAAGAGTCGGTTTGGGAGCTGAGACGCAGTGTTAACCTACCGTTCGGATGTACATATATAATACTTAAAATTGGGTTGGTGCAAAATAATGATTTAATAATGTCGTTCTTTGACGTTAA